TGGTGGACGGGCCCTGCTCAGCGGGCACTCCTACCCAGGCCTCCAGGTGGATGGACCCTGCTCCGCGGGCACTCCTGCCCAGGCCTCCTGGTGGATGGGCCTTGCTCAGCAGACACTCCTGCCCGGGCCTCCAGGTGGACCGGCCCTGCAGAGGAAGAGCTGCTGCAAGTCCCTGCACTTTTTCAAACCCCAGGCTTGCTGACTAGCTGCCCCATGCTGCCATCAGGGTGCGACAGGCTTCATGTCCCGGCTGGGGAAGGCAGGCAGGCATTACCACATAACCCCAGGACTCTACGGGAGCAACAGGACCACATTTGGAAAAGACAATCACGATGACAGTGACAGGCAAACAGCAGGAGCACTCGGACCAAAGGCTGGTTGAGGACTCGGTGCCCTGCCTGCTAAACTGCTTGGGGGTCTAACATTTATCACAAACCACCTTTCATCCAGGGAGAACAGAGCCACCTCGCTGCCTAAGCTACCTGCTACAACTGAGCAGCCGGAACTTGCACCAGGGAGCGTCATCCTCTGGGCCACTGGGCTCTCCCCTCCCCCTGGTTTCCAAAGCAAGGCCTCTGGGCGAGGGCACACTGACCCCAAGGTGACAGGCACAGGGGCCTCGGGCAGCAACTTAAGAGAAGACCACAAACAGACTTTTAAATAAACTGTTTTGTTGTAAAGGAAAAGTTGGAGCTCTGAAGAACATTATCAATATTCTGAACAAGGAAATCCACTCACGATTTCTCCAGATCTTGCCAAAACAGTTGAACCTGAATCTACACGTCACACCATCACCTGCACCGCCTGATGGAGTGTTCCGATGCTGGACTTATTCCAGCTGCGCTGTCCTGCGTGGAAGCCGCCAGCAGAGGCAGCAGCTGGCAGCGACCAGCTGGGTGAGCTGCAGGACCATGGACGGTCCCTCTGACAAGCCTGTGGGGTCACAAGGGCGTATGTGTGTGTGGGTGGGTGGGTCGGGACTCTTACAAATGAGTCTGAAGAGATAAAACAACTGCAGCAAGTAGATTGTGTTTGGATCCTGATTTGAACAACTGAATGCTAAAGACATTTTAAAGACAACTGGGGAAATGTGAATATGTTGTTGGTATTCGATGATACCAAGAAATTATTAATTCTGTATGATAATGGTATCCCGGGCTTACAGAACACAGAGACCTGCAGAATCACTGAGGAAAGTGGTCAGCGTGCCAGGGGTCTGCTCTGCACACTAGAGCAACAAGGAGGAGGAGAAGAAAGGGACGGAGAAGGCAAGCCAGACGCTGCACACACCAAGCCGTGACGACGGGTTCACTACACTCCTCTTTAGACTTTTGTGTATTCTGAAAACTTACTAGATGAAAAGCTGAACAATCTTCTCCAGAAAATGGAGCTTCATTTAAAAACACAAAACAATTTAATAGGAAGTAAAAATAGACCAGGACAGAATTTTCTCAGGGTCACCAGAACAGAGGGTGGGAGGGCACTCCCGCCTCGAAGACCCAGGTCCCACCCACCCCTCAGAGCAAACCCCCTTCCTGAAGCTGCATGAGGGAGAGGCCCTCAAAGCTGGCAGCGAGCTTGGTTCACCCCAAGTCTGACCTGCTGCCCAGACACTAGCTGGGCGCCCTACAAGCATCATGGGGCACTCACGGGGCGACCACGGTGAGCAGGCACTTGGTGAAGAGCGAGGCCACGTCGTGTGCACACCGAGGCTCGGGAGGACAGTGCTGACGTGAGCACAAGGCCGCAAGGCTTCTATGCTGAGTGACACACGGGAGCCAGTCCGACTCCAGCCAGTGGCTCCTAACTGTGCCGTGCTTCCCGCCAGCTGTCCTCACACGCCGATGCCGTCTTCCTGCAGTGGCGATGGGGCCTACGTGGAGCCTGCACCCACTGCCTCACTGTGTGAAGAAGGCCAGCCTGACGGTAAGGGGACAGAACCAACAGTGACCAAGTGCCCTGTAAGCTCCAGCTCAGTGGACCAGGCAAGGGACAAGACAGCAGCTCAGGAGCAATGATGCTACCAAACTGGACCATTTTTCAGCAGACTTGGCCACAGACACCTGCTAGTGTTCGACCAACACTAATGGAGAAAGAAAAGACTGGGTTTGCAAGATGCCTGTGACAGCTCCAAGGCTCCTCCGGCCGACTCTACCTAGTCACACTCCACCACTCCACCCAGGCCACGAGCTGAAGCTACTTACACATGAAAGAGGATGCAACACTTAGTGATGCCACAGAGCAGCCTGGGAAGACAGTACATACAGCCTTTACATACAGTGCTGCTCTACTAGGCAAGACCAGAAACGACTGGAAAGCAAAAACCAAGCACCAAACCCATCTGCTGGATTTACCAACAGCGTCACCAGCGTCTGCCCGGCCGGCCGCGTGCCACGTGCCCAGCCCTCTTGGAGGCGTTGGCCACGTGGTGGTCTCGGCTGGGCACGATGCACGGCTGCGTGAGCTTGCCCCTGAAGCGCCTGACCTGCACCAGGGTTCTGAGCTCGACTTTTGACAGTGGGTTAGATGGGGCCACCCTCTACGTGGGCACCTGGCAGGTCCCCCACGTCCCTGGGTAGGACGGCCCGAGGCTGCGTGGTGACAGTGCTGTCCCTGCAGCTCACACCTCCCTGACCTTCCCCACTGCTTTAGACGGAGCTACTCAATTAGGAAAACCTGTCGGAAATGGCTACCGGTTCTGTGTAACGAACCACCGGCACCTTAAAGGAGCTCCTGGGTGGTGAAAACGATTAACGTATTTGGCCACTAACTGAAACGTTGGAGGTTTGAGTCCACTCAGCGGTGTCTTGGAAGAAAGGCCTGGCGATCTACTTCTGAAAAATCAGCCACTGAAAACCCTATGGAGCACGGCTCTACTCTTGACACACTTGGAGTTGCCACGAGTTGGAACTGACGGGTTGGTATCTAAAAGAAGCTTCATTCCTAAAGGGAGTAAAAACTTCAGCCCCTTATGCACTCGGGGAGTTCCCAGGGTGCCTACTGTCTGCAGTTAACAACCTAGTCACCGTCGAAAGGCGCCAACTCTGGCGCTGGCTGACATGACGACCCTCAAGCAGATCTGGGTGTCAGGTTCTGCCTCTCCTGCAACCACATCTCTAGTATACCTCAGTTAAGCTGAAGGCAACAGTTCAAAGTTATCTGAGTGCATTGCAAACCAATGCCTCTCCAAGGCCAGTGTGATCGTAAACAATGCACTATTTTGGGGACTAACATCCATGCTCCGTGCCAGGTCTGACTGTGTCGAGGCAGGCTGAGACTCCGTGCCCTAGACTCAGGGCCGAGGCTCAGTGCGGTGGCTTGGCAAGTCAGAGGAAGGCCGTTGTTGTGAGCAGCTGTGGGCTGTGCACAGCATCTTACAAAGCAGCACCGAAGAGGCTTTACTCACAGACTACTGAAGATCCACAGGAGTGGGAACCGTCTAACATTCAAGACGTATAGCACCAGTTTTTACTTGAATCAAAGTAAGTGCCAAAAATATAAAGCTACAAAGGCTAATTTATCAGCCCTCTGTGAGGGCTAGCTGGAAATATTCATATATTTTAAACTTGATTCATAGTTTTTAACATTATTCATAGTGAAGGTTTTCATTCTTTGACATTCTAAAGCGTATACTAAATCCGGGAATTAGGAAAGAGCTGGAGAGCTAGCCATCAACATAGGATTATTTTCAATGCCTGAATCAAAGGACCGTGGGTGCTAACTACCCCAAGCGGGTGGGTGGGTGGCCTGGCAGTGGTCAGTAGGGGTTTTTATCGATCCGCTCATCCGGAGTCATGACCTGTAAATTATTCTGCAGATCAAAAGTGAACCTCTCTCCAGGGGCCTGTGCGAAAGGGCTGCTGAAGAACAGGCTGGCGTCTAGGGGTGCCTCGGCCTCTGAGTCCCATGAATCCGTGTCTGAACTGCTGGAGGCCTCAGTAGCTGTGGGCGGGTAGCTGAGCTGCTCCAGCTGGTCAAGGATATCTGAGAACCGGAAGGCTGAGCTGCACTCAGAGCGGACTGAGCAGGCGGGGAAGTTTACGAGGGAGCTGGCCCCGGACTGGCTGGTGAGGGCGCCAGTCAGGGGCACGTTGCTGAACGAGCTGCTCTCGGAGCGGTTGTTCTGCAGTGAGCTGGTCTCAGAGGCGCTCAGCAGGCTCTGCATCAGGCTGGCCTGGGCTTTCACCTCAAAGAGCTCACAGGTGTCCGAGGGGCGTGCGTTGCCATGGCAGCCACCTTCTTCCTCAAACTCAAACTCGTCGTCCACGTCCATGTCGACCGCCTCAGTGGAGTACCTGTCTGGGCTGGACTGCAGGGACCCCAGGTGTGGGTGGGTGTCCACGCCACACAAGGACAGGGACATGCGGGGCAGAGCAGGTGCCCAGGCGTCCTGCAGGGCTAGCGAGCCATAAGGGCAGGAAAATGCTTCAGAGCCTCCTGCAAAGAATGAGATCTCTGCTGGGTCATCATCTATGAACTCCTCGGACACCTGCAGCTGCGGGTTTGTCAATGTGAAAAGAGAGGCGTCCCGACGGCCCAGCCGGCCATGCCGGCACTCCCCGTTAGAAAGGAGGGTGCCCGGGGCAAGGCTGTCCTCACCACGGTCACGGGAACCAGCAGCTGTGTGCTCCCTGCCCACCTTCCCTGCCTCTGGATCTGAGGTCCCACTACCAGGCCCCACTGGACCAGTGGGACTACAACTCCTCCCGACACGACAGAAGGCAGCACCTGCGCAGGCCTGGGGGGCCGGGGGCTCAAGGGGCCGGGCTGGGTGGGGGCCTCCGGCTGAGGTTCCGCTGCTCCTGTCCGCGACCCCACTCTTGGCGAGGAGCATGTGGGGGTCCGTGAGGGAACAGCTGCTGTCCTTAGAATCAGGCAGGCCAGTTGGGGCCACGAGGGAGGTAGGCACTGAATAGGAGGCATTTGCTGAAGACGGGAAAGCAGGAGTCCTCACACTCTCGGTGAATGAGATGCTCTGGGGGAGCAAGATTAAGGAGAGAAAAATAAACACAAAAAATTACCAATTACCATCAGAAAGCTGCAGAGCCAAGTGGGCTCAGCGTAGGACATCACACTTCCTAACACAACTTTCACCATAAAGGGCAGCGACCAGACTGAATGTCTGTGAGCGCTGCAGCTCACCAGCTAGTCTGTTTACAAACCCTGTGATTCCACTTCCTCTCTTGCGCGTGAACGTTCCCCCATAATGAAAATCTCCCTTATGGGCTGATGTCTTTGGGTGCCCATCCTTTGGCTGAGGGGTAGAATACAGCTAGAGGCAGTGACGAGCCCACTCTCCAACAGGACCCCAAGCCTGGCACCCATGTGCGAGTGGGGTTAGTCCTACACAGCTCGGCACTCATGGCTGGGAGCGTGCCTGTCAGCGGTTACTGCTAGTGTGCAAGGCCAGCACACCAACGGGAGGGCGACAGCCACAGGCTGGGAGGGTCCCTGCCAGAATCAGTGCACAGAAGTGTTGGGGTACTGGAGTACCCCAAATGTGAGTGAGAAGAGGGTCATGAGGAGCATCAGCAAGGACAGGAGGTGGCAGTGCAGGCGAAGCTGGGTGACCAGGGCTACACTACCCACTACCTATGGGCTCCCTGACACCGCGTCCTCCCACTCACGATCCCGACGCAGCACACAGCTGAGTCCTCTCTGGTCACTGCGTCACGTGTCGAGAAAGTCCCATGTATGCACACACGCGACACCGAGGTGGTGGTTAGTCCCCAGCGTAACCAAACAGCACTGAATAATGCTCTGTGCAGGGGACAGTATGCCCCACAGCAAAGGCACAGCAACTAACCTTCTAGAAACAAAATCTACGGTCAAAGTCTGTGAGAATAATCTATTTTCAAAGGTTTATCATATCACCCTTTCTTAATCATTCAGTCATATTCAATATTCTCTGTGGCTTTAAAAATTACAATATCAGAGAACTGAAAGCTTAAATATAACTTTTAAACTACTCATATTTTGCCATAAAATTTGAACTTTGGAAAGGAAAAATCAAAAATACACTTTAATTTAATTTTTAATTGATTTAATAAGGAATTCCGAAGTAGGAAACACACCTAGAAGACTTAAAGAATGTTTTGATTTACAAATCCCAATTAACAACAAAAAAAAATTTAGGACACATGGGCTTTGATACGTGAGGCACAAACGCAGCTTCTGGAAATTGTCTGACGCATACACGACAAAACACCAGCAAAAAGTAACACTGTGCGGGAATAAAAAGGTATAATCCTGAAACTATGCTCGTAGTATTACACGGAAATAGCCAGATTCTATGTAGAAACACACTTGCACGTGGAAGTTATAAGCAAACAAGAAAACAGGAAGGGGTTAGAATGGAGCAGACGTGAAATGCGAAGTCGCCTGTGCTCCATCCTAGCGACACCGGGCAGACGCGAAATGCGAAGTCGCCTGTGCTCCACCCTAGCGACACCGGGCAGACGCGAAATGCGAAGTCGCCTGTGCTCCA